TATGGTAATTTTTAAGTTTTTGAGGAACCCCACCATACTATATTCCACAGTGTCTGTACCATCTTATGTTTCCACCAACAGTACACAACATTTCCAGTTACTCCACATTCTTGACAACACTTGTTTTCTTTTTTGAGAGTTGCTATCCTAATGGGTATGAGGTGGTATATCATTATAGTTTGATTTGCATTTCCCAAATGACCAGTGATATTGAACATCTTTTCATGTGTTTATTAGCCATTCATAATTTTTTTTTTGAGAAATGTCTGTTCAAGTCCTTTGCCCAATTTTGAATCATGTTTTGTTGTTTTTCTTTTTCTTCTTTTTTAAAGATTTTTACTGGGGAATTGGGGGATGGGAACAGCACTGAGGAATTTGGGGAAGGGGAACAGACAAGTTGCTGTCATTTTGTTCTTCAGTCTAGTTGTGGAGGATGTTGCTTCACTGGCCCAAGTTGGCACCATCATTGTCACTGGCCCTCCTATGTGGGATCCGAACCGGGGCCCTCTGGCGTCCCAAGCCAGCTCTTAACCAACGCGCCACTCGGCTGGCCCTGTTTTTATTTTTCCTGTTGAGATTTAGGAGTTCTCTATGTATTCTGGATATTAGTACCTTATCAGATATGTGATTTTCAAATATTTTCTCCCATTCTGTGGGTTTGCCTTTTTACTCTGTTGATAATGTCTTTTGGTGCACAAAAATTTTAAATACTCATGAAAGCCAATTTGTGTATTTTTTCTTTTGTTGCCTGTGCCTTTGTTATCATTTCCAAGAAATCATTGCCAAATCCAATGTCATAAAGATTTTCCCCTATGTTTTCTTATAAGAGTTCTGTTCTTTTAGTTCTTACATTTAGGTCTTGGATCCATTTTGAGTTAATTTTTATATATGGTATTAGATAAAGGTCCAACTGTATTTTCATGTGAATACCCAGTTTTCTCTTGCTTAAAAGATTGTCTTTTTCCTGTTGAGTGGTCTTGGCACCCTTGTCAAAACTCATTTGAACATATACGTGAGGGTTTATTTATGGGCTCTCTATTCTCTTCCATTGATCTATTTTTCTGTTTTATGCCAGTAACATACTGTTCATTACAGTAGTATCAGTATTTTGAAATCAGGATGTGTGAGTCCTCTGGTTTTACTCTTTTTCAAGATTGTTTTGGCTATTTGGGATCTTTTGAAATTCCATGTGAATTTTAGGATGGGTTTTCTATTCCTTCAAAACACATCATTGGGATTTTGATAGGGGTTACATTGCATCTGTAGATTGCTTTGTGTAATACTGCTATCTTAACAATGTTAAGTCTTCCAATACATGAACGTGGATGTGTTTTCATTTATTTATGTCTTCTTTAATTTCTTTCAGCAGTGTTTTCTAATTTAAGTCTTTCATCTTCTTGGTTACATTATTTTCTAAGTACTTTGTTCTTTTTGATACTATTATAAAGGGAATTGTCTTTGTAATTTCCTTTTCAGATTGTTCATTGTTAGTGTATAGAAATGCAATTTATTTTTTGTGTGTTGACTTTGTATCTTGCCATTTTGCTGAGTTAATTTATTTGTTCTGTTTTTGTGCGGCATTTTTAGGGTTTTCTACATATAAGATAATATCATCTGAAAACAGAGGTAATTTTTTTGCCATTCCAGCTTGGATGCCTTTTATTTCCTCATGTTGCATAACTATTCTGACTAGAACTTCCCATACTATTATTAACCGAATTGGCAAAAGCAGACATCCTTGCTTTGTTCCTAATTATAGAGGAAAAACTTTCAGCCTTTCACCATTAAATATGATGTTCGCTGTGGGTTATTACATTGGGGTAGTTTCCTTGTATTACGAGTTTGTTGAGTTTTTGTTTTGTTTTGTTTTATTATGAATGGGTGTTGAATTTTGTCAAACACTTTTTTGCATTAATTGAGATGATTATATGTTTTTCCCTCTTTCATTCTGTTAATCTGGTGTATTAAACTGATGGGTTTTGGTATGTTGAACCATACTTGCACTCCAAAAATAAATCCTACTTGGTTATGGTATATCATCTTTTTAACGTGCTGCTGAACTCTATTTGCTAGTATTTTGTTTATTGGTTTTGTATCAGTGTTCATAAGAGGTATTGGTCTGTAGTTTTCTTGTAGTGAGTATGTCTGGAATTGGTGTCAGGGTATCCCTTAGACTCTGTTCGCCTTCTACAATCTTTTCTTTCTCTTCCTCAGACTCAATAACATCTACTGCTCTATCTTCAAGTTCACTGATTCTTCTCCCTGCTTAAATCTGCAGACAGATTTAATCCCTCTAGTCAGTTTTTCATTTTTGTTATTGTACTTTTTAACTCCAGAATTTGTTTTTGGTTTCTTTTTAGGTTTTTAATCTCTTTATTAATATTTAAATTTTGTTCACATTTTCTTGATTTTATCCACATGTTCTTTTGGTTCTTTAAGTACCTTTAAAACAATTATTTTAAAGTCTTTGTCTAGTATATCTGCCATCAGCTCTTTTTTTTTCCTCCCAGGGACAGTTTCTGTTTATTTTTTAATTTAAAATGGGCCATACTTTCTTTCCTATTTATTTGTAGCCCTTGTTCTTTTTGTTGAAAAGTGGACATTTGAGTCTTGAAATGTGGTGACACTGGAACTCAGATTCTTCCCCTTCCCCAGAATTTTTTTGTTTGTATGTGTTTTTTTTTTTAATCATGTAGGCTATCTCTGTGACATGGGTCACATTGAGGTGTAAACTTAAGGTCTTCTTAGATTTTTTTGATCCTTTCTTTTGGCATACATAGTCACTTTCTAATTTTCCCCATGATGCAGCTGTTTTTAATGTGCTGGTCTTTAATTCTGGCTTCCAAAAAGGGAAAAATGAGAAAAATTATGAGGGTTAAAAAGGGTGTTGGCCTTTTAAGTACCCTGGAAATTACTTCAGCCAGAAGGTGAGGGCTTTGCAACAGTGGGGGAAGGTTCAACACCAGTGGTTGCCTGTCTTTCTGCCCTTCTGTGACAAGAAGCAACAATCAGCAGCCAGAGCACAGATCCCTTATATTTGGAATACAGGGTACTTTGTGCCATCCTAGGTATAAACAATTGCTGTACAAGCTACCCCTGTACACAGTCAACTGTCATGTGGCTGGGGGGCGGGGCATGGGTAGCTGCTATGGGGCTAAGTGCTGAAATTAATTCAAATCAACCTGTTTACATCCATGCTTTCCCCTGGAAGTGGCAAGCCTTCCATAGACTCCATAGTTCTAAAATAGTTACATCAAAGTTAGCCGGTGTAGTTGTCATCTAGGTGGGAGATCAGTTTCCAGTGTCTCCTACTCTGCCATCTTCTTGGCACCCTCTCTTCTTCCTTTCCCAAGTTGTTGTTCTTCAGTCTTCATTATAGAGGGCACCAGTCGCCATCTGGCTGCTCATGGCCTCTAAGCTCAAGGTGCTGTGTTCAATCTCAGTTGCAGGTGGGCACAGCCACCATTCCATGCGGGAGTTGAACCAGCAGCCTTGTTGTTAAGAGCGCACGCTCTATCCACTGAGCCATCTGGGCGGCAGCTCAGCTCAAGGTGCCAAGTTTAGTCTTAGTTGCGGGTAGGCGTAGCCCACCATCGAACAGGCAGTCTTGTTGTTACACCAGCTGAGCCATCCTGCCGCCTGTTGGCAGCTCAGCGGCAGCTCAGCTCGGGTACAGCTCACTGGCCCATGTGGGAATCGAACCAGCGGCCCTGTTGCTCAGAGCTTGCACTCTTAAGTCAACTCTTAACCAACTGAGTCACTTGGCAGGCCCTAGAATTTCCATTTCTTAATATATTACAATTATGTCATTATGTTCATGTTTTTCTTTTCATCTATTATATAAATCATGTATATTTTTGCTTTACATCATTTAATACCCTTATTTACCTCTTTCATTCCCAAGTTTTCTTTATGGAGTCATTTCTCTCAGTTATGGTTACATTTTCCTGCTATTTTACATGTCTGGTAAATTTTCGTTACATGAAGGACATTACAAGAGCCATAGAGTTTTACTCTGTATATGTACAAATTGATGTTTAGCCATACACTTGAAGGGACACCTGTGCATGTTTCCCTGGAACTCTTATTTCTTGTTTTTTGTTTTTTTTTCATAGCTCCATCCTCTGTGGGACTCTAGCACACGAATTCTAGCTGTCTTGACTTCTGCTTAATCTGACTTCTTTCTGCTCATTTCAGCACCATAACTCGGTGCCTTTTGGGTCCCCCCTATCTGTGGCACAGTCCAGTATTCAGCTGTAAGAAGGAAGCCTAGGTAATGGTAGAGTTTATTGCATTTGTTGTTTTTTCTCAGAGATCATCAGACTGGGCTCCCTGTTGTCCTATTGGCTGAAAAGTTTTTTCCCTTATTTTTTCCAGCTTTTTAGTTGTTTATGGGCAGGAGGCTAAGTCTCAACCCTGTTACTTCCTTGTGGCCATTATAGTGTTCTCTTCATAAGTATTTTGATGGAAAAGGAAGAGAGATTGTCATAAAAGCAGAGATTCTTCAAGGCAAATAGCAGATAACAGAACAAGGAACTTTTCTAATGATACCACCTGATGTTAAGGGTCTAGGACCAGAAATGTTCAGGGCAGGTGCCAAGCTGGGAAATGGGTCAGAAAAACATGGGAAGATTATGTGGATACCTGCTTAGCATAGTTCTGGGAACTCAGGGCCTTGCCCCATCACCATCCCACTCACCTTACTCTCAGGTCACTATGTACCTACTGTTTTCTTGATGCCAGAAAGCCCCTGGATAGGGAAACCACTTTCACCATCACTGATATAATTATTATACATCACAAAAGATTGATCCCTAGAGCAGAAAAATATTGACAGCAAAGTGTAAATGACTGGTGCTTAGGCCTTGGCTGAGATTTTGGAAGGAGTAAGGAACCCTAGCAAGGTTTGTGACATTGATGGGCTTTCTGAGAACCCTGTCTGCCAAGATAGCGGAGTTCAGCATATCCACCCTTTCCCCTCTTTCCCCCTGTGCCTGCAGTTATGATGAGGTGCCTTTTCTCATGCATGACAATGACCTGAGAAGAACAACGAATATCAGGGAGGTTATGCCAAATGCCTCACTAACGTCTGGTTCCTTCTTCCTTTGGGATTTCCTGTCGACTCTGAATGCTGGCAAATGGTTTGTACAATTACAGGTAAGACACATGCCCCAGCTCAACAATCCTGCATTGAATCCCTCTTCTATATGAGGTCATGTGATGCTCCTGGAGATAAAGGATTTAGATGAAGATAATCAAGCATACACAAATTTTATTCCAGGTTGGTAGCAGGACTATAGCATTGGCAAGAGGGCTTTTCCAATACTGCAGTCAATATGATTACTGCTTTCTACAGTTACTGGAAATTCTGAAGAGAAACTTTTAAACTTACTATTGTCATTTAATTCCTTTTTATTCCAAGCATTTCATAAACGTTTACAGTGTGCCTACCATGTACATTACATTTTCCTGGGAATTTTGAGTAGCTCACAATCATAGATGAGGCAAACTGGGAAACATTTTTCTCTTCATTCTGTCTTCTTACTATTCAAAAAATATTTATTGAGTGCCTATTGGGTACTAGACACAGGAATACAATGGTGAATAAACATACACCCAGCCTTAATGGAGTTCACTGGCTAGTGTATGAAACAGGCAATTACAATACATTGTGATATTGCTAAACTAGAGTTCATTTCAGGTTGCTAAGTTCTGTTTTATAACTCATCAAGTTTGTAGTTATTTGTTATAGCAGCCCTCAGAAACTAATACAGTTAATACAACACATCTTTATATTCAGTTATTTCTATACCTGAATAATTTGAATTTTGTTCCATTCATAGGAATAACTCATGGCTTTAAAATTTTGAGTGTTTTTAGACATTTATATGCCATAATACTACAAAGAAATAGCAAGTGTAACCTGTAAGGGGAAGTATGATTGGGAATTAGGCTGATTTATATAATCAGGTTGATGTGTGTGTGTGTGTGTGTGTGTGTATTATATATATTTTTTTCAGACATATATATATATATATATATATATAATCAGGTTGATCACAATCTTTAAGCATAATTTGGCAATCCTCCCCTATCTATCTATCTATCTATCTATCTATCTATCTATCTATTTTTTCTATCTATCTATCTCAATACATAGCAGTCTAACATCTCTTAAGGCAGTTGATTAGAATATTTTTGGCCAAAATTCACTTTAGAAGCATTAATTTCAGATTTTTCAGGAGTTGGCAAGGGACAATATGTCCAGCATATTTTCAAATTGTCTCCACTAGTAATAGTTTGGTGTAGCTGAATTATAGTTAGAGTGATAGTTGTCTAGAAAAATCCTGGAGTTAGGCAAATTATTGTTTTTAGCTGCAGGAACATGATAGACTAAATCAGCAGTGTATAACCTCAAGTCAATAAAAACAAAAGTATGACACAAGATAAAGAACAAAAGCATTCAAGGTAAGTTTGGCATTTAGTAGGAGAATCTTTTCCCATTGCTCTTTGATGACACCCCTTCTACTTCATGCAGTTGTTTATAGTTCCAAAGACCTTGGTTCAACTTTTGACTTCTAGTGCTTATCTGGAGAACCTACGTTTGTGATCTCTAATGGCCGTGCCTTGCCAGTTCTTGTAAATAGGTGATGTCATTGTAGTTGGGAACTACGGATCGATTATTTCTACTTTACTGGAGTTCAGAGTATCTGATATTATCCTTTCCTGTGATGTTCAAGGACAGTCTTTTTGTGAGCTATTTTCGAGTCCGTTCCTGTTAATGAGAGGTATCTTGGATAATCCTTTATAATATTTAGCTAAAAGAGTTTTTTATAAATGACTAATATGAAATTTGGGTGGAGATATCTTCCAAAACATGGGGCTGCAAGTGACTAGTTGACAGGGAGATAATCTAGGACTTCCTGATGGGAAGAACACAAAGCATAAGACAAAATGGGTAATCCTTAAGGGGCATGGAATTTCAAGGGTATTTGATAGTTTGGCTGATTTTAGTTTTTATATTTCATGTATTCTTCCTACTTTCTCCAAGTATGATGTGTATAAGGACAGGAGATGTTTTAGTGAGGAGCAAAGTTCTGCATAATTCAAAATAAATATCCCAGTAAAATGTTTTCCCTATCACAGGATAGCGAGGTTAAAGTGGCTTAGGTAGAGAACACAAATACATAATAGTTTTTAAAGCCATTTTAATTTACAGTTGCTATTTAATGGGGAAATACTTTAGTCCATCCATAAAATAAACACACAATTATTAGTACAAATTCAAATTCCCAGAGGGAAGAAACTATACAAAATCTGTTTCAAGACCCCCAAAGGGTCCCTTTGGCAAGGTTCCAATCCATGCCTCACTTTCACAGTTTTTTTTTATGATTATGTTGGTTTCAGATGAGGAAAGAAATGGTTGCATCTTCAGATATTTAGAAAAGTTGCCCCATCATTGTATAATACTGCAGTTAATTTATCCCTACTGTGATGAGTTGTGTCATGAGGATTTGGGGAAGTGTCTATTTGAGGTTAATTGGTGCCTACCAGGTGGCCACCATGAATCTGGAAACCTGATTAATTCTAGTGTTTCTTTTCAGAATTGGGGGCCACATTTTGTTTGTTAATGATGCAGTTCTATTTTTTTTTAAATTGGGGAATTGGGGGAGGGGAACAGTGTTGGGGAATTGGGGAAGGGGACCAGCCAAGTTGTTGTTCTTCAGTCTTTACTGTGGAGGGCTCCAGTCGCCATCTGGCTTCCTGTCGGCAGCTCGTGGCCTCTAAGCTCAAGATGCCAAGTTCAGTCTTAGTTGTGGGTGGGCATAGCCACCATCCCATGTGGGAGTCAAACCAGCAGCCTTGTTGTTAAGAGTGCATGCTCTATCCACTGAGCCATCCAGGTGGCAGCTCAGTTCAAGGTGCCCAGTTCAGTCTTAGTTGAGGGCGGGTGTAGCCCACCATCGAACAGGCAGTCTTGTTGTTAGGAGCATGTGCTCTCACCAGCTGGGGCATCCTGCCACCTGTTGGTAGCTCAGTGGCAGCTCAACTCAGGCACAGCATCACTGGCCCATGTGGGAATCGAACTGGCGGCCCTGTTGCTCAGGGCTCTTGCTCTTAAGCTAACTCTTAACCAACTGAGCCACTCGGCCGGCCCATGATGCAATTCTTTTTTTTTTTTTTTAAAGATTTTTATTGGGGAATTGGGGGATGGGAACAGCACTGGGGAATTGGGGGAAGGGGAACAGACAAGTTGCGGTCCTTTTGTTCTTCAGTCTAGTTGTGGAGGACGTTGCTTCACTAGCCCAAGTTGGCACCATCATTGTGCTCTTCCCGGGAGAGGCAGATCAGTCGCTGGCTTCTGGAAGGCCGCTCACTGCGGCTGCTGGCTGCTCACGCTGGCTGCTGGCTACACACGGTAGCCCATGGCAACCCACTGCAGCAGGAGCAGCCTAGCTGTTGCTGGCGACTCACGGCAGCCCAGCTGCAGGTTGAGCTGTTGTTCAGCATCTTAGCTGTGGAGGGCAGTGTCACTGGCCCTCACATGTGGGATCTGAACTGGAGCCCTCTGACATCCCAAGCCAGCTCTTAACCAACGTGCCACTCAGCCGGTCCCATGATGTAATTCTTGAACTCTGTAAATTGGTCTTTTCTTCTCTGTAAGAGGCCCTTGTCTAAGGTATTTAGTCAGGGCATGCTGTTTGGTATGATGATCTGCTAAAGCATTTCCTCTAATGTCTCTGTTACTGTGGACCTGTACTTTTAGGGCAGCAACTTATTTGGGAAGCTTCAAGGCACAAGTAATTTGTGTATTTGTTATTCATTTTTTTAATACAAATAACTGAAGAGGCTAAAAGCCCCTTTTTTTTCTATAGCATTCCAAGTTGTGAACTACTTTAAAAGCAAACAAGCTCTCAATGGATATAGTTACCTCCCCCCCTTTTTTTTTTTTTACCAATGTCACATGCCCTAGTGAGGGCCATATTTTGGCTACTTGAGCCAATTTGATATCTGGTAATGGATAGATTTTAGATTCTATCAGAGAATCTAGAAAAATTATTGCATAATCAGCTTATTACCATCTTTTAAAAATAAAACCTATCAAAAAACAATATTAAATCAAGATTTTGTATAGGAGCATCCAAAAGTTTTTGTTGCAAGCATACACAGTTCAGAAATCATGAGATTCTCCTTCACTGGTAAGGATAACACAGTTGCTGTATTAAGAGTGTTACACTGGTGAATGGTCATATGAGAAAGAGAAAGTAACTGTGTGGTCATTAACCAACATAAAAATACTGCATATTTTAAGTGAACAGCTGAGATTGTATTGAATGTGGTACCATAGAAATGTAAACCTAATACAGGATCTGAAAATTCTCAGACTAGTTTAGCCAAGACTGCATTTTTTTTTCCGAGGAAAGATAAAAAACCTTGCTACTGGATCAGGGGATAGACAGTAAAAAGCAGTGTCTTTGATGTGTGTCAAGTTGTTGAGTTAATGCCCTTAGACTGTGACCTCTCCTTTTGTGTACGTTCAAAAAGAAAAGTTTATGATGATACGGCAGATCAACAAACAGGATTGTTGAAAAAATATTCTGAGATCACTGAAAGTTTTTGGTTTCCGTGTTTCGTGAGAATGGTTCCAATATGTTTGATTAAGTCAAATCACATAGAGGCCTATTTCAAAAAAGCTTGCTACCTATACTTTAGAAGACCCAGTGAATCCAAGAAATCACCTTGTCTCTAGTGGTCAGTCTTGGCTAATTTTGGATAATTTGTCATCGCTCATTAGGCTATGTGCTTGCTTAGCCAGCATATCATGGCGTAGGTCAGGGGTTGGCACACCGTAGCCTGCTGTCCAGATCCAGTCCGCTGGCTGTTTCTGTACAGCCTGTGAGCTAAAAATGGTTTTCACATTTTTAAATGGTGGGGGAAAAAACAAAAGAATAATGTTTCACCATGTGTAAAAATATATAAAACTCAAATTTCAGTGTCCATAAATAAAGTTTATTGGAACACGGCCATTCTCATTCACTTATGAATTGTCTGTGGTTGTTTTTACAGTACATTAGCAGAGTTGAATAGTTGCGAGAGAGACTATGTCTCACAAAGTAAAAAATATGTAGGCCCTTGACAGAATAAGTTTGATTAACCCTGGATAATAAACTGTTATTTTGTAGAATTAAAATTTCTCCTGAGAAGTTTTGTGAATAGAGTTATTGAGTCAGTCTCAGAATTTCAGGATGGGTTGCTGCATATCCTAAGATCTTGGTTTGGCTTGAAAAGAGTAGGATGGGCTGTCAGTAAATGCCTGAAGCATAATTTTCCAGGTAAATTGTTGATTTTTCCCTGGTGAAGGCAATACATAATGGCTATCTTCATCAGCAAGGACACGAAAAAAAGTAGAAATTGGACCAATAGAGTATAATGGTTTAGGCAGTACTAGAAAATGTGGTATGCCTGGTTAATAGCTCACAGGTATTGGATGAATCTTATGCCTCACCATCTCAGTTTTTGGGTTTTTTTTAAAGCAAGTAACATATTGCTTGAACTAATGCAAGCAATACTTAATCTTTATTATATTAAGTCTGTCATAGTTGGCTTAGATCTTCCTTAACTTCAGTGCTGAGAGGATTTTAGGCAACACTATCAACAGAGTGAATCCAGCGTCTCATGGGTTTTACTCCCATTATTCTGCCTCTTTTCCCCTCAGGAGTTCTGGTACCGTGGCCAATTGTTCGTTATATTTCGAATCAATATACTAATATCATAGCTGTAATTTGATAATGTGCAGTAGAATTTTCTTTGACCCCTGAAAATTTGTCTGTGGTTCATTTCTTCTGGTGGTGTTTCTTGTGAAGTAGATTCCTAGTGATGAAATTTGTAGGAAACTGCCACAGAGAAGGAGTATTCAGACAATGGCCTCAAAATAACATTTATAGTTATGGGACATGGAAAAGGATTCAGGATTGTTAGACATTCTTACTAATTTAATGGTCTTAGTACTCTGAGCAATCCAACTTTCTATGGTATTGGGATTAATAGTAAAGTTAGTGGCACCTGTATCAACGATAAACTGTATTGTTGTTCATCTCCTCAAATTGTCTGGTGAGTAGTTTGCTTTAAGTGGCATTATTGGGCAGATTCTGAGTAATTGTCCTAGTTCTTAAACAGTATGATACATTGAATCATCTAATTGCCCTTCTACTTGTAATTTCTCTAAGCACAGACATAGAGAACTGAGGAGTTTGTTGTCATTTTTAGCTTCTTAACTTCCTTGGGTTTTTTGAAAATGCTCAACCACGTGTTGGAGATAGTCTAAAATGGCGTTGTCCCATTCCAGATTATTTTTCTGACTAAATCCCCCCCCCTTTTTTTAATACAAAAATAGACATGATTTACTTCAGCTGTTAAATGCACCCTCCCTGCCCCTTCAACACTATGTAAAGCTTTTATTGGAATCTAGTGTTATACGTTCCTGTTGATTAATCTTTATTATTTTTGGTATTTTGAATTTTTGTCCAATTTATCTTTAAAAGAAAGACTTCATAAATGTCCTCATGTAGTGCATTTGCTATTCTTTTTACCCATTCAGGAACATTTAAAAAATGTGCACAGCTAAGTTATTTAACTCCTGTCTTGGCCTTTGCCGTTCTGTTCTTTTAACAATGAAATGAATCAGTTGTTCTAGATCTGGTAGAGTCTAACAAAATCTTGAATCCTGAAGCGAATTTTTATCCTGAGGATGAATTGAACCCTGCATTATAGACCTCCACTCAGATCTGGAATATGGTTCGGTTCTGCATCTATGTTCTGCCTTCTGCTCAGGCATGGGGATATTGAGCAGTGTGCTTATTTCTTTCCTAAGAAAAAGGTGAGAAAGAGCAGGTTGTTTAGGAAGTCAAGGGAAGGAGAAGAAATAGAAAGGGTAAGAATGAGAATGAAGATGAAAGTTGTGTGGAGACCAAGAGAGATTACTTGAATCTTAAGAAAATGTGAGGTGGCTACTGCTTGCTTCTCCTGAGAGAAAGCCTTTTATCACTAACTCCACCCACAAATGGTCAACAGTTGGTAAATGACGATAAAAGTAGCCATCTATTACATTTAATACAGCTAATCTATGTATGGACTGAGGTATAAGATGAAATGCTTTGTATTGCAAAGAAAAATTAACAGCCCCTACCGTGAGGCAGTTACACTTCAGCTGAAACAGTAGCGAGTGAGGGAACTAAGTGAATTGTGCACTTTTCTATGTCCCAGACATGCTTCTAGGTCCTGTAATTATTTTATTATATTTAATCTTCAAAATAATCTTGAGAAATACATAGATTACCCCTCCCCTTCCCCATTTTATAGTTTGGGCAATGAAGACTTGGAGAATTGAAATGGTTTTACCAAGATTACACAGCAAGAAGCATATGCAGCCAGGATTTGAATCTGGTCTAAGACATACACAAATAACTGTATAAGGCAGAAGGAAACATACAATTACAGAGGCGCAAAAATGGGCCATTGGAGTTTAACACCATCAAAGTTTCTTTAGTTCAGGAATATTTAAGAAAGGCTTCATGAATGGTGGTAGCATTTGAAGTGGGCTTTGCAGGTTGAGGGTAGGATTTTAACAGGCCAAAGCCTGTTTTCATTACACAAAACTAGAACAGTGAGAGCAAATGTTGGAAGCCAGTGTAACAAAAAAGGGATTGTATGTATTACCTTGAGTTATAGAAAAAAAAGCTGAAAAGGAAGGTCAAGACAGGAATATGAAAGTTTCAGTACAAATACAACAGGTTATTCAATAACAGACAAAATCATTCCAAATACCATAATTACCTGTGGAGATTACACTTAATTTGTCTTGGCAACTCTTTATTTCAGGACTAGTATTGCAGAGGACCCGGCGGGTTCAATGATAATGGAGCAACATGGCGGTAGGGCTGGTTGTGGGGCTGTATCTCAGGAGGATTGGAAAATGCTTTTAACAGGAGCCAATGTATTCTCTGATTATTTATTTTTAGTCCAAACCATTTTACAACATGAAACCCTTATCAAAGGCTGACAGAGAAAAAGCTATGCGTCAGATGATTCCAAAACTAAGTGATTTATTGGAACTTGCGCAGAAGGAGAAAAAGATTGTGATGTTTGATCTTAATGCGCCTCCACCAAAACATCCCCTCAGAAACACGTTTGTCCGCCGGGTAGTAAGCGTGATCCTTGACTCTAACATTGAGCAACATCGGGTATGTCTGTCTCAGTACTGATGGTAGAGGTTGGGAGGTGGGTAGCATGTCCCAGGAGCATAGCGCTGAACCTGCCCTATCTTGTAGATCTTCCCTGAGATCCTTGAATAAATTTGCTCCCTGTAGAAATGGAGATTACAGATAAATGCAACAATCTAAGAATGATCCACTTATATTTATCTCAGTGGGGGAATACATTGAGGCTGTTTGCTATTCCAAATCCAATGAAATATCAGCACTCTGTTAAAAAGGAATGTGTATAATGACTACATGATGTGACCTGGGCCATCACCAACATAGAGCTATTAGAAAGGGCCTGGGGAACACTAAGGCTTTAAGGACATGGCTTCAATTAATGATGTGGAAAGAACAGCTGGTTCTTATTTGAGCAGAGATTTGTTCATCATATTTTTCAGAAGCAACTCTCTGCATTGGGATAGTCAATCATTCCAAATCTCTTAAATTCTCAATATGGAAGAGTGCTGTGAGTGAAATAAGTATGTGTTATTTTGCCAATGGGACTATTTTCACAGATGAGTCATAATAGCATTCTCTGTTGTCAGGAAATGAGCCCTCTCCAGGATGATTTTGAGCCAGAGGAGATGTTTATGATTCCCACCTTTCACCCACACCTACCAATGCCTCATCCACTTTGGCTTGTGTCAGGCTATCTGCACACGATGGGCCTTGACCCATGATGTTACCTGAGAAAACTCATCTCCAGAACAACCCTGGCAAAAGCCCCATTATAAGAGTTCATTAGACAAAGTTAGGCCAAGGGTTAGACTCTCTCTCTGCTCCCTATAGACTGTTACCAGTGCTGGAATGGGGCTCCATCTATTCTACGTGGAGCTGTTTGTACCTCAACAGTTGATTATCCACTGAAAGACTTCCTGTTTCTCCTTACAGATTTATTGGTTGACAGCTTTTGATAGGCAGTATGTCAAGTTGAAAGCTCCTGGTTTTCAGCAAGTAGGCCGATTATACTCCATTGAACGCCTTACAAAAGAAAATATCACTAAAATAAACGTTGACTACAAGAAATTGTTCTACAGTGGGTTGAGGTAAGTGTTTGACCACCTCACTCTTGGCATGTGCTGCCTTACTTGCATAAAATCTGCATTCTAACCAAGCTACATGGCTTCCCCTTCTCATCTCAGGACTTCTGTGTGGCTATCTTTTTGGAGTCCCCTCCTGCCCGCTTCTTGCCCTTCCCTCCCTCTCTTCCTTCCTCCCTCTGCCAACAAACGTTTATCAAGCGTAGACTATTTCCCTGGAATACAGTCTTCTGCCCCTTCTCCCTTGTGCTCCACGCTCTCATCATTAAACACACGTTTTGTATGCTTGGCATTTTTGTTTTTGTGTAAGGTGATCATTGAAAAGTCAGAACTCAAAAAGTTGTTTATTTTCTCCTGCCATTACCAGATGGATTGCAGTACCTCACAAATAGCTTTGTGAGCCACATAGTCAGGTTTCTTATAGGCATAATTAAGAACATGACTAAATCATTATTTAAAAAACTTAAAACAGCGAAGCATGAGAAGAAACTAAAATTATTAAAGACCATATTTATAAACATATAACTAGAGGCAGATTTTCAGAATTAAAAGCACCTGGGAATAAAATGGTAACTTTTTCAAACTTAACTGTTATTAATTATTGCTTAATTTAATCCATATGTCCTTTATCTTAGATTTAAAAATGGTTTCAGATAATTCTAAATGTTTCCAAGACAATGTCTTCCTTGGAGATATGTGTATTCAAAATCTCCTTGGGCTTAATAAAAATTCCTCTAGATATCTTTCTGAACCTCAAGCCATGAACTAGGCTGTGGGATGCACCTGTTTCCCTGCTTTTCCTGCCTCTTGGCCATGGTGTGGTTTATAAAATACATCATTTTTTAGCACTGGAAAATTGTGCTTTACCTCTGGTTCCTGATCAGATTTCTCTTTGCCGAATTACTCCTATATTTTTAGTGTACTTCTGTGTGTGTGTGTGTGTGTGTGTGTGTGTGTGTGTATGAATGTACATTTCCTTTTCTTCGGAATCATAATTTAGATTAATCTAGTAGTTGAGAAACAATTTTAATACCTTCAATTTGTTGAGCTTTTATTATGTGTCAAGTTCTATGGTTGGTAGACCACAGGCTCTTTTATAAATCCTGGCCTACCCATCAACTACATATAACTTTGGACAAGTTTCTAATTGTCAGTTTTCTTATTTGTAAATTGAGAATAACAATAACCTGATGGACTATTTAAGTGATTAAGTGAGTTACTTCATATTTTGCACATAATAAAATGCTGGGCAAATGTTAACACAATAAACATTAGCTGTTGCTTTTATCATCAACATCCTTACATGCTGTGCCCTGGAAATGATCTTCATTTCCTTTCCCTTGCCTCAAACTCTAATTCCTTACAATGACTGATCTGTTCTCTGTTTCTTTCTTTCTTTCTTTATTAAAATTTATTGGGGTGACAATGGCAACAAAATTACATAGGTTTCAAGTGTATAATTCTATAATACATCATATATATTCATTACGTTTTTACCACCCAGAGTGAGTTCTCCTTCCATCACCATGTATTTGACCTCCTTTACCCTCTTCTATTACTCTTCCGCCCCTCTTACCCTCTGGTAACCACTAAACTATTGTCTGTGTCTATGAGTTTTTGTTTCTTTATTTGCTTGTCTTGTTCCTTTGTGGCCTTCAGTTTTATATCCCACATATGAGTGAAGTCATATGGTTCTCGACTTTTTCTGTCTGACTTATTTCGCTTAGCACAATAATCTCAAGATCAATCCATGTTGTTGCAAATGGCACTATTTCATCTTTTCTTATTAGTAGAGCAGTATTCCATTGTGTATATGTACCACATCTCTATCCAATCATCTATCAAAGGATACTTTAGTTGTTTCTTTTGGGTCATCGGGAAAGTCATGATGTATTTTTCTGTTTTTCAATGCAAAAATGCATCATGACTTTCCCAACGACCCAGTATGTCTTGGCCATGGTAAATTATGGTGCAATGAACATTGGAGTACATATATCTTTATGGGTAAATGTTTTCAGATTTTTTTGGTAGATACCCAGGAGAGGGATTGCTGGATCATATGGTAATTGTACTCTTAATTTTTTTAGGAACCTCCATACTGTTCTCCATAGCGGCTGCACCAATTTACATTCCCACCAGCAGTGTATTAGAGTTTCTTTTTCTCCACAGCCCCTCCAACACTTGTTATTATTTGTCTTGTTGATGATAGCCATTCTAACAGGTTTGAGGTGATATCTCACTGTGGTTTTGATTTGCATTTCCTAATAACTAGTGAAGTTGAACATTTTTCATATATCTGTAGGCCATTTGTATATCTTGTTGGGAGAAGTTTCTGTTCATGTCCTCTGCCCATTTTTAATTGGATTGTTTGTCTCTTTGTTGTTGAGTTGTATGAGTTCCTTATATATTTTGGATATTAGCCCCTTATTGGAGGTATTGTTTGCAGATATCTTCTCCCATTCAGTTGGTTGCCTCTTTGTTTTGTTGATGGTTTCTTTTAATGTGCAGAAGCTTTTTAGTTTGATATAGTCTCATTCATTCATTTTAGCTTTTATTATTTCCCTTGCCTTTGAGGTCAAATTCATAAAATCCTCTTTGAACCCAAGATCCATAAGTTTAGCACCTATGCTTTCTTCTATGCAGTTTATTGTTTCAGGTCTTATGTTTAGGTCTTTGATCCATTTTGAGTTAACCTCTTGGGTACCAATTTATTTGAAAAAAAATTTGCATATGGAATGGATTTAATTTTTCGGTACTTGGAGTAACATGTAAAAGCACTAGATTTTATGTAAAAATTCATTTATTTCTAAAAAATCAGTGACATACATAGTAGTGAGATGACTTCAGGTAATTAGAATTGCAAAACAAAAATAAATAATTAAAACACAAAACTAAAACAAATAAATTCAAGGTATAGCAAAAAGTAAATTACTAATTGTTAATGAAGAGTATGGTATTTTTCAAAGCAATTAGGTAAATGCAGTGGCACTTGGCATTGTTTGCACTGCCAGGTAGTCTCCTAATTTTATGTTGATAACAAACACAACACTGTGCCCAATTTTTTGCCTGCAAACAAAATGGTGTATCGCTATTTGAAGGACGTCCACGACAATTATAATTTGGCAGTGACACTTGCTCCAATCATTGTTCAGCAATAGCTAGACGAAATGAATGCCTGTTTTGGTTGTGCAGCTGATTTTAGAATATAAAACATGTGCATTATAAAAGGCTATGTCTATTAGATAAAAAACCCCATTTCCTTGTATCCCTTTACACATTTTCTCATAACAGGGAAGCAAGCTAGCATTTGATCCCGTTTATCAACGCCTCCCATACCTTTATTATACTCAAGCTCACATACTGGTTTTATAATATTTTCGATATCACCACCTTGCTTTTTCCTCTTTTTGCCATAGTCATTTTCATTAAAACTTTCATTATCACTTTCATAAAATATATTCCTTATTTCTGACATTATGGGGCAGTGTATCCCAAACAAGTTTCACTGAAATACTGTAAGTGTTCTCCTGTTGCAACTGATATAAACTACTCTAAAATGAACAAGAATGTACATGTTAAATATTGTCTTAAATCGAATAACAAGTTAGACTTGTCATCTTGCACATAGGCAAAGCAAGTGCATGACGAGTCTCAGTCATCAAATGTACCCAAGGGGTTAATTTGGGTACACGGTGACAGATCACAGTCTAGTTTCATTCTTTTGCACATGGCTTTCCAATTCTCCCAGCACCATTTACTGAAGAGGCTATCTTTTCTCCATTGTATGTTTTTGGCTTCTTCGTCGAAAAATTATCTGTCCATATTTATGTGGGTTTATTTCTGGGTTTTCAGTTCTATTCTATTCGACTGTATGTCTGTTTTTCTGCCAATACCATGCTGTTTTGATTATTGTTGCTCTGTAGTACAAACTGAAGTCAGGGAATGTGATACTTCCAGCATTATTCTTTTTTCCTTAGGATTGCTTTGGCTATTGGAGGTCTTTTGTGATTCCATAGAAATCTGATGATTTTTTGTTCTATTTCTTTAAAAAATGCCATTGGGATTTTGATTGGGATTGCATTAAATCTGTATATTGCTTTGGTAATATGGCCATTTTAACTATGTTGATTCTTCCAGTCCATGAACACGGAATGTCTTTCTACTTCTTTGTGTCTTTTTCAATTTCTTTTAAAAATATAAAAAAAATACAGTGTCTTTAGTTTTCAGTGTATAGGCCCTTCACATCCTTTGTTAAGCTTATTCATAGGTATTTTATTCTTTTTGTTACAATTGCAAAAGGAATTGTTTTTTCTAACTTCTTTTTCTGAAATTTCATTGTTAATATATAGGAATACAATAAATTTTTGTACATTGATTTTGTAGCCAGCAACTTGACTGTATTCGTTTATTGTTTCTAATTGCTTTTTAGTGGAGTCTTTAAGGTTTTCTATATAAAGAATCATGTTGTCTGTAAAAAGTGACAACTTTACTTCTTCATTCCCAATTTGGATGCCTTTTATTTCTTTCTCTTGCCTGATTGCTCTGGCTAGGACTTCCAATACTATGTTGAATAGCAGTGGTGATAGTGGACAACCATGTCTTGTTTTTGAACATTGTTCTCCATTTCTATAATTTTGTCATTTCAAGAATGTTACATAAACAGAATCATAGAGTACATGACCTGTTGTGGTTGTATTTTTTTTACAGTTAATTCCCTTGAGATCCATCCAGGTTGTTGTATATATCAATAGTATGTTCTTTTCTGTTGCTGAGTAGTATTCAATTGTATGGATGTTTATTTAATCATTCACCAGCTTAAGGATATCTGATTCTTTTTACTTATGAGCTATTATAAATAAATGTTATGAACATTTGTGTACAGGTTTTCATGTGAACATAATTTTTTTTTTAAGATTTTTATTGGGGAATTGGGGGATGGGAACAGTGCCGGGGAATTGGGGGAAGGGGAACAGACAAGTTGCTGTTGTTTTGTTCTTCGGTCTAGT